GTTAATATTGGACAAAAAACGTAGAACGAAAATGATCAAATCATTTACAGGCTGATATTTTTAATAATAATAATAATAATAATAATAATAATAATAGTAATAATAATAATAATAATAATAATAATAATAATATTAAACAAATTTTATTTGAGTAAAAATTATTTTTAACATTTTCTAGTATGACAATTTTTGGTACATCGAAAAATTTTAAAAAATTAAAACATTTTTTTATTAAATAATTTTAAATTATAAACTCTTTAATGAATTGTTAAATGAAAAATATATATAATTAATATAAATACAAAAATTTTTGTTTTAGCCCGAACCGCAGTTAATGAAAGAGTTTTTAATTCAATGTTTACATTATTATAAAGTACAACAGCATTATAGATAAAATAACGCATAAACATGGATAAACAAAACTGTGGTAAAGATAATAGTATATTATACGAGAGATAATGCAAGCTTTTATTCACGAGGATGAGGTTTACCTAAGTCATCCGAGTGAATGTTGCGCATAATCTCGAGTGTAATATAATTAAATGATTTTTAAAATTAAATAAATAAAATCTGACATCTGTCAAATGGTTAACCTTACTTTTTATTAATTTTAAATATTATTATAGTCGCCTTCATACAATTTAAAACCCGATTGGTTCAAATTACAGTGAATACTGAAATCGGCCAATCACTGATGCCTAACAACGTGTATAATGAGTTCATTATTCACGTTGTTAGGCAGGAAATTTATAATGTTTAAAAATATTCACGGAAAAACCCAAAAATTATGCAATAGAAGTAGATAAATTATTATTTTATCTTAATGAAACTGAATGCAAGTAGGTCAAAATAATTTGGTGTACATACACTGATAAGTTTAACCTATAAAAATTTTTTAATTGTAACCAAACCAATTCTTTTATTTTCAAAGAAATTTTTTTAATCCGAAAATAAATCGTCTGATTTTAAATATTTTGTATACGATACAGAGTACATTGTTTCAAACATGGAACAAAATATTACAATAATTATGCTTGGGCAAGACTTCTTTCGCAATTTAATTTTCATCAAAAATTACGCCCAAATTTTTTACTTTACTTTCAATTTTAAGTAACTTGCTATCGACGTATATTTTTAAATTTTAAAGACCTTAACGTTTTTAGATAAAAAAAAACTAGTAAGAACAAACTTTGAAGGATTGAGTTTTAGGTTATTATCCATGGAATATTCCGAAATTCCATTAATATCACTATTTAATTGATTAAACGCCTAGATTATACATTAGGGCTTAAAAGCAATAATTGAGTGTCATCAGGATATACTTTAGCTATTAAATATTTAACAAAATTAAAAATTTCAGGTGTATATAATATATACGCCTGACATTTTTAATTATGTTTAATATTTAATAGCTAAAGTATACAGGGTGTCCCACAATTAGTGCGACAAAATGAAGGTGTATTATCTACAGACCCCCAGGAGTTCCAGAAAATTGTTTAAAAAATTCTTCCTTCATTATTTAAAAAGATACAGGGGATTCATATTTTCTTTATATGGCAACATTGCCTCAAAAAAAGGGGATAGTTTAATTCTTAATCATCATGTTAACATTGTTGTTTGTTGTCATGATGATTAAAAATTAAACTATTACTTTGTTATGAGGCAATGTTGCCATACAAAGAAAACATGACTCCCCTGTATCTTTTTAAATAATGAAGGAAAAATTTTTAAAACAATTTTCTGGAATTCCTGGGGGTCTGTAGATAATACACCTTCATTTTGTGGCACTAATTGTGGGACACCCTGTATATTATTAAAAATAATATAGGTTCTAGAACAGAGCTCTGGGGTACCCCAGAAGTTATAGTACAAGAATTGGATAAAATTTCATTTGCTACCATATTTTGTTTTCTTTCTGTTAAATATGTATATTTTTGTTAAATAGGACACAGCAATATCACCATAAACTTAGTTAATCTTTAAGTTAATCTATGGCCGTGACGGTGCGTGAACAGTGATGCCATTTTAGGCGCTTTATCGCAAATTAGGCTTTTTAAATAAATAAATAATTATTGCCTCTTAAATGTAAGAAAATTTATTTTATTATTCTTAAAATTTTGATGTCTCTTCGAATTTTACTTAAAATCTACCTATAGATTGCAGCTACCTACACAGTAAAATAAATTTAATTTAATTTATTTGCATTTATTTCACCTTTAGTGTGAATGCTATTTCTAATAGTGCTGTAAATTTAATCTATCCAATGTTTATCATATCACTTATTGTCGCTGAGCATACATTTCACTGCTGAGGCGTCAGCTGAGGCAGTAGATTGTGTGCGAGGCAATTATTATAATAATTGCTTATAAGCTTTCGAAAGCTTATATATTTTTCTTTTTTTCAAGCATTGCATTTTTATTTCTGTCACATCATTTTTATTTTAGGTTCAACTGACGATGACATTTTAGCTTTATTTTGGTAGAAAGTTTAATATTAATTTGACTTTTAAACTAGTATTAATATTCATGAAGTCTTTTTATATAGACTTAAAGTGTTATAATATAAAAATTATTGTATGCTTAAAAAAATATATAATGAAGGTTTTCAATGATTCTGCTCTTATTAATTTTTATATATTCATTTATTTTTAATTATATGCTGGGATGTTTAAATAATGTTCATATAAAAAAAATTAAATTTATATTTATATAAAAATAGTTCATTGTATGTTTTACGTTATAAAAAATTAAACTACAATATTTGGCAATTACTTTATATAAATACGAAAATACAGCACATTGTAAGGTTTACGCTACAAAATATAAAACTAATCTTTGGCAATTACTTAAAATATAAATACGTTCAGAACACCAAATAATATTTTGGGACAAAGTACCAATTGACACTGTTAGATTCGAGGTTAGATTGGTGTAAATTGTATGGCTCTTTGATATGCATGCTTAAAAGTAGTAGTAGTTTTATACAGGTAACCAATTCTTACCCATTTTGTGACTAAAATTTCTATCGAATCGGGAAATTTTTCTATATAATAAAACTTTGTCATCATAAAATGCCATCTGCTTGTATCGCACTGCTAAGGTTTTGGCTAAATTTTTGGCATCATTGACATGTTTTACTCTCAGGAAAAACATCTTAAAATTACTTATTATATACATTAAAGTGTAAAGTTAGATTGATGTGTAACACTACTATCATTATTATTATATTTATTTTTGTATATCTAATTTATTTAGTAAAATTGTTTACTTTAAAGAAATATATAAAAACATTAAAATATTTTTAGGCATTTACGAGTTTCAAGTGCATTTTGCGAATTAATTGTCACAATAAATTAATTTATTACAATTTGATTTATTAATAAAGAAATTTCTTAACAGCCTTTCATCTTAAGTGGAGATTCCAGAGGAAGCGCAATCGTTGGTAGATTTTTTATATATGAATAGATGAATCAATAGATGCACTGTTTGTTAGATATTTAGACAAAACAAAAATATTTATTTCATTTTAGTTATCATAATTTTATACAGGGTGTTATGTAATTAATGTTATATATTAAAATGGGTTGTTCCTTAGGGTCCATAAAGAAGCACCTGAAACTTTTTTTTTCTAAATTCCAAAGTCTAAAAATAATTTATAATAACCTTTATCCTACCAAAAAGTACGCCACTGATCGACACTTTAGGTTAATCTGGTGGATTTATTATGTTATGGTTGATAACAACAGTATATTTGTTATATGCAACAGTGTTTCCAAAAAATTTGACAAACATTGTTTAAATTTAGCTTAATTACAAAAATGACAAAATTAACAATGCAAATTGTCAATTTGGCGTTTTTATTAATTGTTGGTTATTTCATTTTTGTACTGAAGGTAAATTCAAACAAAATCTGCCAACTTTTATGACAGAATCTAGTGCATTTCTTTTAAATTTTAGGTTATGTTTTCAAATTGTAAATTAATCTTAACTAAGGGAAGTGCTTTTGGATTTATTTACACAAATTAAATGTTTAAAGTTTAACCTGTGAGCTGGTCCCAATTTCATCTGAGTAAACAGAGAAAAAAACTGATGAAAAAATTAATTTTGTGGTTATGGATTTCAAATTTCAAAGGTTCTAAATTTTCTAATCATTGCTTAAGCTAATAGCTGGATCAGTAAATAAATACATAAGGGTATTAGAGCTTTAAGGGCATAAAACTTTTGTATTTATTGAGTTTTTATTTATTTTTTGCAAGAAAAATTTTTAATAACAATTTTTTAGATCTCGCGACCTGAGAATTAGATTGTTCTATCTCCCAAAATTTAAAGAGGAACAAATAGCAGTTTAAAGTTTAATTTATATAGATACAAATGAAATTTTAAAAAGCTGTTTTTGCGTGTTTAGGTTTTGAGAGATCCTATCTTTTAAAAATCTGACACGGAAAACAGCTTTTTAAAATTTCATTTGTATATAAATTAAACTTTAAACTGCTATTTGTTCCTCTTTAAATTTTGGGAGATAGAACAATCTAATTCTCAGGTCGCGATCTGGCAACGCATAGCTACTTTGTTGGTTGGTATCTATGTACTCACAAAGTGGTGTGCAGAGATAAACAAGTGTGTAACCAGTGGCGTATCACAAAAAATATAAAAAACTTCTAATGCATATTTTTTTAAATATTTTTCCTTTATTCCTTATGTCAAAAGGTATTCAGTATTTTAATATATAACATTAATTAAATAACACCCTGTATATATTTATCTTAAGTATTTTTTACTGAATAAACATGTGATACTAATCTTTTAAATTAATCTATAAAATATATTAAAGTTATTAAAAACTTTAATTTTAATCTGGTATTTAAAATTAAAGTTTCAATATCAGCCGACGTTAGTTATCCAATAAAGAGTTTTGTTTCTATTTTAGGACACTGTTTATTTTTGCAATAATTATTGTTTAATCTCACCCTCTACTATTCTAAAACATAATTTTAATTAAAGATGATGCCATTAAAGAGGAAATTGTTTGTCTTACAGATAATTCCAAATCAAAACACAACAACGCAGTTAGTAATAAGATCGATATTGTCGCCATACTTCTCGGTCTACAATATCACAGCGTTCTCTCAATTGTTTCAGACTTGCCTGAAGGCAGCATCAGCCAACTAGAAGTAGTCGGATCGAAGACAACTTGCCTGGAGGACCAGACGTTGGCCGGTTGCCAAGTGCAGGCTCTCATTCTGACCAATAACCACTTGCAACACGTGGCAGATCGAGCTTTCAGGTGAGTTACTGCCTATTGTTGCTGAATACTTAGTTGTACTTCGGGTTTACACGACTTTTTTTATGCAACATAGTAGACAATATTAAATTTGTGTAAAATTTGTCCATGAAATGTAAAAAAACGCTTAGTTGACTCGAGTGTATTGTCACAAGTGTGCTTTGGGGTTTTAAATGTTATCAGCCATCTTGACAATTAATTATATTATATTACAATTAACTAAAAAAATGGAAATCGACTTTTTTAGGGAAAATATAAACGTTGAAAGATAATTACCCAATTTATTTTATAAAACAACAGATTTTAAAGAAAAATACTGCGTTGCCATGTCGTGCAAAAACCTATATCAACTGATATGCTAAATCAATGTTTCTGCATACGACCCTTAAAATAATTATTTATTAGCTAGGATAACCACAAATCTGAATTTTAAGGGTCGTATGCAGAAACATTGATTTAGCATATCAGTTGATAATTATTTATTAGCTCTTTAAAATTTGTCGTCAAATCAAACATAATAATAGAAAAAGTTTACCACACCGTTATTAACTTTTTTAAAATTTTGTGTCGATCATAATCGATTTGACGTGGAATGCCCCAAATATGAATAATCTTGTTTTTACATTTTTCTTAATATTTGTAAATATTAATATTAGCTATATATAGGTACAACATATCAATAGAGAATACTATTCCGCGTCAAATGGTGTGAAAATATTATAGTCCTTCCAAATAAAATATTAAAGTTATTGGCAAATGAAGTGGCAAAAAAGTTAACTAAAATATCAAACACACTGTCTAACATTTTGGAATACTCCTTTGCTAATGTATCTACCAAGGATGAACTTTTTAACAGTACAATTGTTGGTAATACAGACATTTTAGTTAGTCACTTCATCTGTCAAATTCTCAGAAACAATTGAAGATAGAAGAACGACTTAAAATGCAATAGCTTCAGAAAATAACGTTAAAATGCAATATTTATAAGTGACAACGCATTCGAAGTATTTTAGAAAAATAGATATTATCGCGCTATAGCTGAAACCAAAATTTTAAACTTTCATTTATTTCTAATGAATCAGTAAGGTAAATTACCCTGTATCCAGAAATGAACTTTGTAATTTCTAGTGGGATAGAAGCCATATATATATATATACACACATGTCCAAAAGTTTGGAATACAAATAATATATCTACGCCTATGGTAGTTTAAAAAAACGGTTGTTAATATTTACTCTATTTTCTCTGTCTTTGAGGTTTATTTATTATTGGTTGGAGTCGTTATAAAATGGTATTTACCTATATAAAAAAATATATATTAATATCAATAAAAAAATAAATATTGCAATATTCCAAACTTTTGGACATATGTGTATATATATATATATATATATATATATATGGCTCCTATCCCACTAGAAATTGCAAAGTTCATTTCTGGATAAAGTCATTTTTATGAAAATTTTACTCACAATTTCAAATAAAATTAGATAAGATTTATAGTTTTTTTGTTATAATTTGTCAATTTATTAACTATTTTTAATAATGTTGTGTCCAATAAAAATTGTTGACTATATTATTTATTTAAAAAATACAAAACAAAGAATTTGAACTTTCAATGTTTTGAATCGAAGTTGTTTTGTTCTAAAAAACAATGTATACTTAAATAGAAAAAGAATACAACAAAAATTTATGTTTTTAACCAAGAAAATAAGAAAGGCCGTTAATTAAGGACCAGAACCGCAAAGGTAACGTAGCGTTGCAACCTCTCATTGATTGTCATTCCGACACCTTTGCAGCTTGTCGGTAATAAGCCTTTTAATAATACGCCCCCCGGAGAGCGATTGTTGTCGGAAATGTTTGTGCAGCGACGTCGACACACTTTGATCTCCAGACTGTGTGCACGTTATACGTCAAGCTTCGGAATGGGAGGCCATGACCGGATGCAATTGTTGCATTCCCACTTTCGTGAAATTTCAGAATTACTTGTTTGTATCTTTAATTGGAAAACGCTGCCTTTCCCGTGCAAATATATTTTAATCAGAAAGAACAAAGTAAACAGCAAAGCTTTAATTTAAAGCAAATTAAGTTTCAAACTGTTTTGATATTTTTGTGAGTGCTGCAGCGCGGCTGTTAAAGAACTAATTTAGCTATATCACCAACATTGCGGAAAATAAAATGCATATAATTAGCATAAATGTTAATGGTTGTAACGAAAACAAACCCGTACAAGGCTCGAAATACAGCTTAAATTTTATTACGCAAATTAATGTTTAGGATTACACTACACACCACTGATAACATACTACAAGGTAAAAATAGTCAAGTACCAAAATCCATATTAAAATATTAATTCAATTAATTATAGATAAGCGTGGAAGTTTGTGTATACAATGATTATGGGTTATTAATAGTAACTGTAATTAGTAAATTATAAAATACAGGGTGCAGCAAGTATCTTTTTATGTGTGTACTTCTATAAGTATTTTTTTTATTTAAAAAGTTACAAGGTCGGTTAAATATAATAAATATAATATATAAAATATAACTTATAAATCGTAAAACTAAAAATATTAAAAAAAAACCTTTCAAAACCAAATTCGGTATAACTTTGTTATCTCTGGGAATTTTGAAAAAAGTAAGTTTTACATGGTAATATACACATTTATCTACATTTTCATCCAATTGCTTCGCCACTATATTTTGAGTTATCATCATCATATTTTGTTTTTATAATATGGCGGTTATAAGAAAAACAGAAGATGTTGGTAATCATAAGAATGTGAAAATGTGAATAAATGTGTATTATACTTTGTTTATGTTTAAAATTTTAAACTTTAAATGTAAAATTTACTTTTTGAAAATTCCCAGGAATAACGAGGTTATTAGGACTTTTTAATTTTTTTCAAATTATCTGAGAACCGCACATTTATTTTCCAATTTCTAAATGCCCTTTTAATACGCAACCAATTTGACCGACCTTGTAGTTTTCAAATTAAAAAAAGATACGCATACATAGAAGGATACTTGGTGCACCCTGTATATATTTTAAATTGATATTATAGTACATGTACATAAATGGAAAACATATATTCTTAATTTTTATTTTTTCCATAATTCCCTTTATTATTACAACAATGTATCTAAAATATTATTTTAACAAAATTTAAATCCAGCGCACAGTGGCCGATTTTACAAAATAATGTCGAAAAGTGGCCAAAACTTGTATAACAGGATTTCTGAAGTGAATCTTTATAATTTGGTATTATTTTTTTTTAATTTGAAATGGCGGATCTAATGGCTAATGGCGTAGTTATGAAAATATATGTTTATAATTGTGTTTTCTTTATTAACTATATCCCTAGAAATGTAAAAAAAATTAAATAAAAAAAAAATATGAAAACCAACCTATAAAAACGTTTTTACAATAACAGAAAATCATACAGGGTGTCTATTTAAAAACAAACAATGGTCCTAAGTCTGGACCTAAAAACGATATTAAAATAATAATGACCTTTATTAAGCAACCCCTGGGGCTGTAGCCACCTTAATTACTTTTTTTTTAGAAAGCTCTTGAAAATCTTTATTTAACAGTACTAAACAAAATACTGTTTAGAAACTTGTATTCGCTTATAAGAGATATAAAGATTAAAAAAAAAAAATTTTTTTAATAAAAACAGTGTAGAAAATGGATTTTTAATTTTTGAAAAAAAAAATCATAGTGCCAATATGCCACAGCATCAAACATATTTATTTTAAATAGCTTGTTTCAAGACAAAGAAAAATGATTGGTCAATGATGTATTGGCAAAATCGTTATAATCATGAAAATTTAAAAAATCATATCTCCAAAAACAATTGATAAACCGTGCTAAAATTAACGTGGAATTCCCCATATATTATTACCTTACAAAGTATTTTCTTCACAAAACTTATTATGCCATCTAAAAATCTTGCTTTTTAAAATTGTCCTTCAATTTTTGCAATATACATATGTCCTCTCTCTAAAAATGAATTTTTATAGTTATTAGTGCAGCCATGGCTGCTTTTTCACTTGTAGTGTAAAAAGGGTTTTATTTCCCGGGGGAAAACTTTCCTTTTTAAGCTTGGCGTCACTTACCGTGCAGACTTTCTAATAAAATCTCGGGCGCCAACTTCAACGGGTTTAAAGTGGTTGAAGTTCCACTATGTGCGAGGGTAGCTTTTAGGGTCAACAGTGGAGATAAAATTCCAGGGTTCCGGGGAATTTAAGAATCAATGGTGTGTTTCGGTTAATACATATATTTAAATAACTCCTCGCATGTACAAAGCAATAAATAAAATGGAAATGAATTTACAAAGAATAATTTGAAAATAAAAGGGAAGTCTCTGAAACAAACAAACAAACAGAAAATTAGTTACTACAACTTACTTTAGCGGTCGGACGGTCGGGACGGCGGTCGGTCGGTGTTCCGGTTGCTGCAGAAATACTCGTAGAAGTGCTGAGAAGTGATAAGTGATCCCTTCGAAGGCGCTGCGCCCGCTTATATGCCCTCTGGTCTCCCTCCTAGGGCCGGCTGCGCGAGCCTCCAGCATGATGTCAAGATTGACCAATCCCGGCGTTGTGGCAAATCTTTTGACATGACGGTGCTCTCGGTTGCTGCTTGGCATAAAAACGCTTCGTCGAAAGGCAGAAGTAAATAATCTGGCTATTTTTTGCTGTGCGCTTTGACTGTCCTACGGGTCATTCCGGTGGGGCGCTACATATGGGCTATTCCGGGGTCGTTTATGACTTATGTGAAATAAATCATTTAATCGGGATTCTGTAACACAGGGTAGGGATAGGGAAAAAGTAACTTCGTTACATCCCCCCCTTACTTCGGAAAAAAAAGAAATTTCATTTCTTTTTCTTTTGACCTGACGTCACGGCGATATCCTGTCGGATATCAAACGGGGTGTTCTGGGCTTTTCACACGTTATTGCTGGGTTTGTTTCGGGGCGTGTGTTCTGGGACTATTTCAAATTGAAA